AATTCACATTTAACAATATCACATTAATCCATTTCAAAAATTATTTTTAAAATCAACGGTCCGAATTTTGACTACACCAAAGTTGTGAATCATAAATGACAAGCATGATTTTACAACGGATCTCGTTCCATGTATATCAAAATTTACATAAGGTCAAATCATATGTCAATTTTAAATACAATCAACTTTTTTATTCAATCTTTTCCTTGCACATCATATTTTGTATTTATTATATACATTTTTTTTAATGTACAAATAGCAAAATTATTAGACAAATAGGTTAATTCTTCTCAACCATGCATAATGTAGTATTCGAATCCCCAATCTTTTAAGTTTTTCTAACAATTGAATTCTCGTAAAAGATGTTTATCAATATATGGCAATTCAAGTATCATACTCGTGAAACAACATCTTAGGAATTCGTAAATCCCCTCTAACTTCCCGTACCTCGTCTCTATCTTGCCTAATCTATTTCCTCATTCTCCATTCCCCATGTCTGATCTTCTCCTCTCTCGACCACTCTCTATTTAGAAGTACGGCACAACATTCCTTCTAACAAATATATAACGTTTGAACATTCAAATAGGTTCAAATACTATCAAAATGGAGAGGCCGGAGACTTAGGGCATATTCTCTTTGTTATTTTCAAGCCGTTTTCTATTTTTGATTTTCAAAATAGTGAAAACACGTTCTCATTCCTATTTTCGAAAACGCGTTTTCGAAAATAAGTTTAAAATTTACAAAGAGAACCCAAAACGAGTCATTCTGGATGTTTTCACTTATAACTTGGCCAAAATTTTCAAAACGCATTTCCTTTGTTTTTAGTTACTATCGCCCTCAACCACCACCATTGCCACCTGCAAAACACCACCAACCGCCGCCCTAACATCACCCCAACCACCACCATAGCCACCACACAATACACTACCACCACACAATCGCCAGATCACCAACCACAGCCACCACCACAAAAATCGTCACCACACGTTGCCCCCACCATAATCATCACCAACCACAGTCACCACCACCACAAATTTTCAATTTCAACCCTAAGTTTACCCATAAAATCAGTGAGCTATGGTTGAAATTGGGCTTGACCCGTGGTTGGGTTAGGTGAGTCAGAGGGAAAGGAAGGTGACCCATGTGGTCCGCAACCATGGGTTGAACGGACGTCGCCGGAATCACTGATTTCTTCGGACTGCACGAAACTGGATCACGACCCTCATTTCGATTAATTGTTGTTTGGACTAAATTGAGGGCTGTTTCTGAGTCACCCGGAGGTGGGCAGTCGGCCGGTGGTGATCCGTGATGAAGACGGTGGCCGGATGAGGGGGTTTCGGCAAGTTACAAAGAGGTGGGAAGAAGAGAGAGAGACAAAGTGATGAGTGAGAAAATTCATGGGAGAAAGTGAATGCATGTTAGGATTTTTTATTTTTCAAAACAATTTTTAAAAATGGCAAA